ATTGAATTTACTCTTACATTGTCTATTTTCTTTTCGAGCAAAGTACTGAGATTTTACCCTTTGTTGTTGACTTAAGTGTTTTGATTTAAGTATCTAATGTTATGTTAGGGTAGATTGTAGAGTGTGCAAGCAATTTCATGGGTGATCAGGGATAAACACACAAAAGGGTACCCGAGTCCCTTTAGATTTAGAGAACCTAGCAGAGTACATATAAAAAAAAAAAACTCCAGTAGCAAATTTGAAGCCTTTTTTCGTGAGAAATTATAATTAGTTATTTAAAAATTAATAAATACTTGGATATTTTCAATTGTCCAAAAATCATCAAATTGAAATACTAGTTGGAGTGATGATAATTTTATAAAGTTTATATCAGTAAAACTGCCCCATAGTGGCACAGCATTATGTCTGCAGACTCAAAATGTTAGAAACTGGGTTTTGACACCTGTGGTGGGCAGAGCACAGATAACTTTTTGTGTAGCTTTGTGCTTAACTACAAACAAATTCAGTAAAAACTAGGAAACCGACTGTGAACATCGATATTTAGTTTTGTGGGGGGGTAAACCTAAGGAAGCCTGAATTAATCTGTGGTTAGTTGCTGTTTGTAGTACAGTAAATTCATTGTGGTCTTATTGAAAATCAGATCTGTAACATTTGTTAACAGTTTTTTACATCAGTTTACTCATGAAAGATTCCAATTTTATTTTAAATACAAACTTTTACAAGATCTGCTTTTGTTTTGAGAAACTGATTGTTCTACTACCAGAGGAGCCATTGTGATTTTTTTTGTAAGATTTATATAAATTAGGCATCATATCTTGCTTTGTTGTTATTTGAATCAACCTTAATATAACTTATTAGTTCACTGATGATTGATTGTCATTCCAACAAATTCTGAACTCACTGTAATCAAAATCATTATTTACAGTGATATTCAGAACATTATTTGTGTGAAATGTGTTGTTTTTCAGCTTGCCAAAAAAGAAAGCACTCGCAAGACTGGAAGTAACACTGACCTGAACCAGTTAGAAAGTACCGAAACAGGAAGTTCCTCAGAGGGGTCTGGAGAAACTGGAAGTAGAAAATCTTCCTCGACACCTGACTTGTAAGAACATTTATAACTTTCATCATTCTTTAAGCCTAAAGAGGTGCATGTACTTTATATAAACAAATTCTGGTTCTTTTTACGCATGCAGTATTTGTTTGTTTTTTCAGTGTGAAAGAAAGAAATGCTAATTTCAAACTTGGCAACTTTTTAATAACACTTTTTTTTGCATAAAAAGAACTTAGATTGAGAAGATATTGTTTAAAATTATTATTTTTTAAATGTTAAGTTTTTGTCATAAATGGAACGGTATCTTGCAAGATCTAGCGTTTTTTTGTATATTGAGGTATTTTTCAGACCACAAAACCATCTATATTGTTCTCTAATCACAAAATGACACATGCATTGATATGCTAATTAGCATTGCCATCTTGATCCATTTCAGAAAGTTAGTTTGCTTACAAAGGTCAGTGGTAATGATCTAACTGTCACAAGTGTTCTTCAAACATCCTAATGCATGACAGTGTTATTAACACCAATATTTAACTTTCAACATATTGAGTTTGTAATAACTAGGGGTCAGCAGCCTGTCTATATGTGAACACCTGCGTCCTTGTTAAGTCTGTGTTCTCAGCTTGTTTATCTTAACAGTATCAGCTTACGGAATACTGATTGCCTTGGTTACTAATTGATGAGATGAAGTCATTGAATGCCCCTTCTGTTGGGGAACTTATACACTTGTATAGTGCATTAGGCTTAAGCTCTCGCTGTTTGTCCCAAATGTAACTTTCTATTTAACTTATTATTCCAATGAAGATGATAAGGGATTATTTAATACTGCCAAGGAAAACAAGTACTTTATGTTTGAGAATTTCTATAAATGTCTTGCACTGTTCTTTGTGTTGCTGACCCCATCCGCTAACTGATATCATGCTGGAAGGTTTAGCATAGCTAGTACATGAAAACATGTTTTACTTGGCTTTATTTTTCCATGAAAATGTGTTTGTCTTGGCTTTAATTTACTATGAAAACATATTGTACTTGAATTTATCCATAAAAACATGTTTTACTTGGCTTTAATTTTAAATTTTTATTTAGTTTTCCTTTACATATTTTTTTCAGTAGAAAGTACAATTATTTACTGATGCTGTCATTGTTATTTGTAATGTTGAATATTTAAGCTATGACTAATTCTAAATCTAGTTTCAGGAAACATTTAATCATGCATTTTATCCTGATAAATGTGAAAAAAGATTTTGATTTATTTGTAGAAATACCACTCGGGTTTCACCACGACGATTACCAGCTCATAAACAAAAAGAACAAAAAAGTGTCCCCACACAGAAAGGGGAAAGAAAGGATGAAAGAAAACAAGTGGCTCACATGATAGGGAAGGATGCATCAAGTACCACGGCTCCTTCTCGTCGCTACAAAGTACAGTCACCAAGTGGTGAGACCCACGTATCCCAGGATTTGGTGAAACTGAGGAAACACATTTCCCCGCTTCCTGTATCACCACGAATTCCAATTCCACCACCCTCAGACTTGTCAGCTGAAACTCTACAAAGAGAACGCTGGGTTACAAAATCGGCTTCTGCTTCTGGTTTGTCACTGATGATATCTAAAGGTATGTGGAGAGTAGTTATGAGTTGAATTTTGTACTAACATTTAAGAAAATTGTTTTTTATGTCTGTAGTGACTGAGGGGCATATAAAGAATTTTAGAGAAGGTGGGGGGGTCCAAGATACTTGAACCAGGATGTAAGCATAATGATATATAGGTCTATTTATAATGATACACAAAAGGGAGTTTTGATCCCCGTGACATCCCCACCACCTCCTACATTGGTCATGTACAATATTGCTATGGAATGCATGGTTTTCGTTGAAACAAAATATATTTAATAATGGACCTAATTTGTGTCATAATCACAAAAACATCAAATAAATGATTAAAATATTTCTTTAATGTTAATTTTACTTACTACAGATGATAATGTGTCACAGCCTGTAGTCTGTTCTCCTGGAGGTTCCAGCACAAGCTCACGAGATACTTCACCCAATAGAGAGACTAGTCCTTTAGTTCCTCAACTAAAGCCTCCAATCATCATCCGTAGGGGGCCTCATGGTTTCGGTTTCACGGCACGAGCAATTCGAGTGTACTTCGGAGACTCGGATGTTTACACCCTTCAACATTTGGTATCGGTAAGGCACTCGTAGCTCTGCTTGATGTTTGTGATTAGACAGTAACAGGTAGTTTTGTATGTATCTGGTAAAAGATACAGTGTTCCACTTTCTTTATGGTTATTGAAACAGAAGTGGGTGGTGCTGTAGACACTCTGACAGTTTTTCTTTTTCAAATTATGAATATGTTGGGTTTAACCTATCCTCAAACTCAAGACATTAAGATTAAATTCAAGGATAAAAGTCCAAAGATACAGCTTTTGAGTGGATTGTTTGTTTTTATTTAACGTTTTTGCAACATTTCGACCACTCATGTGGCCGTCATCAGGTAACTATCTCTATTTTGTGAATTAGTGAGCAAGACAGTAAAACATATTTTTATGGATAAAGCCAGGTAGAGATAGTTACCCGATGATGGCCACACAAGTGATCGAAATGAAAATAAACAACACACTCAAAACACTTTGGACTTTTATTTATAGTGTATAGTGGATTTCCTCTCCTCACAACAAGCATAAATTCAAGGATGCTGGATCTGGCATGAATTGATGGTTAGGGTGCTTGACTCACAATCTATGGGTCATGGGTTTCAGCCGTGGGAGCAGTATAACATGACAGTTAGTCCTACTGTTTAATTAGAATAGCCCAAGAATTGACGGTTGATGGCATCGACTAACTGCTGTCCCTCTAATCTATCGCTTCTAAATTAGGGACAGCTAAAACAGATTTCTCTTAAGTTGATTTGCACAAAATTAAGCAAACAAAGACAGTTATTGTTATGTTTTAGTTACCACATCAAAAGAAAATGGATTCTTAAGTAATTTTGTAGGAATCTCTAAGATTTCCTGAGGCTTCAGTGAGGCCTACTTTCTCATACAGTACTGTCAACAAAAAACGAACAATATGAAAGCTCTAACAGCATTGTTCATGGTCAGTATGAATACATGTACATGAAAGGTCTCGTGTTTTCACAGTTAGCACAAAGTCTGTTTTTTCATGGTCAGTATGCATCCATGCACAGGAAAGATTGTATGATTTCACAGCAATAACAGATTAGATCCAATCACATGGACTGTTGATACAGGTTAAGTTTATCAAAGTTAACAACTAACTACTGTATGAGCACTTACTAAGAAGCTACACATTAGAAAGTTGATGAAACTCAAACAGAGATGACAAAGTAGAAGAAAGATCAGATTAGCTAGTTACATTGTAGAAATATCAGAGTAGCTAGTTACATAGAAGAAAGATCAGATTAGCTAGTTACATAGAAGAAAGATCAGATTAGCTAGTTACATAGAAGAAAGATCAGATTAGCTAGTTACGTGGAAGAAAAATCAGATTAGCTAGTTACATAGAAGAAAGATCAGATTAGCTACTTACATAGTAGAAAGATCAGAGTAGCTAGTTACATAGAAGAAAGATCAGATTAGCTAGTTACATAGAAGAAAGATCAGATTAGCTAGTTACATAGAAGAAAGATCAGATTAGCTAGTTACATAGAAGAAAGATCAGATTAGCTAGTTACATAGAAAAAAGATCAGATTAGGTACTTACATAGTAGAAAAATTAGATTAGCTACTTACATTGTAGAAAGATCGGATTAGCTACTTACATAGTAGAAAAATTAGATTAGCTAGTTACATTGTAGAAAGATCGGATTAGCTACTTACATAGTAGAAAAATTAGATTAGCTAGTTACATTGTAGAAAGATCAGATTAGCTACTTACATAGTAGAAAAATTAGATTAGCTAGTTACATTGTAGAAAGATCGGATTAGCTAGTTACATTGTAGAAAGATCAGATTAGCTAGTTACATAGAAGAAAGATCAGATTAGCTAGTTACATTGTAGAATGATCAGAGTAGCCAGTTACATAGAAGAAGGATCAGAGACTAGCTAATCTGATCATTCTACCATGTAACTAGCTGATCTCATCTTTCTTCCATATAACTAGCTAATCTGATCCTTCTTCTATGTAACTGGCTACTCTGATCATTCTACAATGTAACTAGCTAATCTGATCTTTCTTCCATGTAACTAGCTGATCTGATCTTTCTTCCATGTAACTAGCTAATCTGATCATTCTACCATGTAACTAGCTGATCTCATCTTTCTTCCATATAACTAGCTAAACATAATAATGTACTTTGAATGTATAACAGGAATCTAGTAGCTTGTTTAGATATATTCTTTATTTTAAGAGCCTTGATTATAATTTATAATCATCAGTAAGAAAGGTTTTATCTCGCCCCTATGTGCTACTAACTTTAGATATCAGTAGTGTAGATGGAAGATAGGACCACTGAGTTATGTTTTGTGAGAGTCAGAAATGCATTACTTTAATTAGTCTACAAATTATAGCTAACATATGTTTATTCAACAAAACTATGAATTACGTATTAAAAGAGACCAATGAATATTCATAAGACTTTGGTCTAAGCTGAGAAGGCACTCGGCTGGAAACTGAAGAAAACCAATTGGATATAGCCATGGTCACTGTGCCATATTTGTAAGATCTGGGAAGTTATATATCTTGTGTTGTTCTTGTTAGTTGATAAATATTTAAAAATTGATCTGTAAGTTATTATTAAATACACTAAATTGTAATAAATTTTGTGACATTTCATTTATGCAGTAAATAGTTGTAATTCATATATTATGTATATATATATGTGTGTGTATTTATCAGATATATATATATATTGGTTTTTTTAACTTTCACATAAGTTACAATAGGTGGAATGCAGTGATTATTTAACCCTGCGTCCTTTTAAACTACTGTTACATAAATGTAAGGTTCCTAACTTTTTTCATTGCAAAATATGAATTTATTATAACGTAATCTAGCAAACAATTTTGTAAAAATAGAAAACGTTATCAATTTATTGATACGAGTGTACCATTTCACCTGTCTACTAAAACATCTTAAAGTTATTGATATACACGTACTAACCTAACTGTCTATATTTGTTTTTAGGCTGTGGGTAATGATGGACCAGCCTTCGAGTCAGGAGTGAGACCTGGTGATCTAATTACCCATATTAATGGGGAACCTGTTCAAGGTCTAGTCCATCATCAGGTGCTACAGCTGATTCTTTCTGGTGGTGACCACATCACTATTCGCACAACCCCCCTGGAGAGTACCACCATAAAAACTGGAGGTCGCAAGAGACATCCTTCTTCCATAAAGATGGTTCGTCGGCCAATCGTACGAAAGCGTTATGGCCAAGGAAAGAGAGATGTACAATCCGATCGCAAGAGGAGAGCCACTCTCTTTAGGAGATTAAGTAGCAAACGAGCTAGTGCTGACTTACAACATTTAGTTTCAAGATCACCCCCTATGTTAACCACTAGCCACAGTTTGCAGTCCTTGAGCAGAGGGGGCGAGGCTGTTTCTGGATCCCCTACCCTCAAGGGCCCACGATCTCCACCAGCAAATAGGTTGTGTTCGACCTCTGAGTCTTCCCACTCAGCTGGAAATTCCTCTGGAAGCAGTTCTCCCAGTTCTAGTGTTCCAGGTTCTCCGGCAGGAACTGCTCAGTTTCAGCGGCCAAGCTCTCTTCATGGTCTTAAACACAAGTTGACTCAGACTTTTCGTTCTCCTCGCCGGAAGTCAGTGGGGCATGTACCCCTTTCACCACTAGTTCGAACTCCTTCCCCCTCCTCTTTACACTCACCTTCACCTATACGTTCACCTTCTCCTCTAGCCTTTCCTTTGGCTCACCACACTGCAACCACATCACATAAAGGTCCATCTGGAAGCACATTAACTCCTTCTAGCTCAGTTAAAAAGATTTTCATGAGGCCAAAGAGTGCAGAGCCTGGTTCTCCTCTTCTAAGACGTGCCCTCTCTCCAGATCGACTACATTCCAAATCTACTGAAGCCAAGATGAAACAAGGGAAACTAAAGTGGGAGTCATCTGGGGGACACACTTCTTCACCTCTCGCACTTTCTTCTACACCTCCCATGAGCTCTTACCATCACTACTCCCCACCAGTCTCTTCTTTTGTTTCAAAACTCACTGTGCCTCATTCTTATGTTTCACCCAAAGACTCTGTGCTAATGAATAGTAGATTTCAAACATCTGCAGCAAGAGAAACAGTGAGTGGTCTCGACACTTCTACTGGTCTGCAGCAGGAAGAATACCACATAGGTGCAGATCCTGATAAGCATGGACGATCCACTGCTGCCCATGATGGTACTCAGCAACTTTGTGGCTCTAGTTTTAAGCTCAAAACTGTAGATGAAACAAGTGTAGACAGTCATAAGACTGAAGGACAACTTTCAACATCTCAACTGATTAAATTATTGTCAGTTGGTGACTCAGGAGATAGGAGGTCAGGGAATAGAGATCAAATTCTTCCTGTACTAATTGAAGATACCACTTTGCCGCCCGATGTTGTTCACCAAAGTAAGGAGGATGAAGAATTGAAGCTGCCACCCGTTTGTGACATATCTTCACCCAAAACCTTGTGCGATATTGTTCAGAAACCACCAGTTCTTTCTGTTCCAACCATTACTCCAGAATCTAAGAGATCAGGAAAGAACAATTCTGAAGATATAAATTTGCAGACCAACCTTTTGAGCGGTATTCAAAATTTATCAGTTCATTCGATAGAAAAAGGTGCCACCTCAAAAACTAAATCGACCGATACCAAGGAAGGCCGCTCAAAAGTGTTAGGTGAAAAGTAAATGTTATTTAAAAATGAAACTATTAAATTATTTATAACTTATCCATCTCACTTAGAGTATGTGCTTGTATATAATTTGCTTTTAAAACAGACCTAGCACTTACATTGTTTATATTAATTGAAGAAGAAGTCTATAAGTGTTTCACTACGTACTGATTCCTGCTCTTGTTGTTGTTCGTGCTACCCGCATTGTGTAAGATTGTACGATAGCCTGGATGTTTGATTTCCAATCCTTGTACATAGATGTGTGACATACTGTATATATTATGTTTATTTATTGTTTTGTTCCTACACTCGGTGGTCTTTGGTTGTACCTGTCTTAACAACATTGAACACTGAACGATATTATTCTCCATAAGGTTTCTGTTTTGATGTACTGCTCGTCTTCCAGCTCTAATACAGTGCAGATTTTTTGAAGTAATCACACAGTTATTAGAGAACTATGTGTAGGAAACGTTATTGCTTTCTTGTATGATAAGATGTACTTCAATACATTGGCTCTTTTTTTTTAAGTAGATTACTTGTTGAATAGACAATAGGGGTATAGTCAACAGTGCTTGCATACATCATGAACTGTCTTGAATAACAGTATTATCATAACTGCAGTAGCAGATCTCGATGTAAGAAGCTTTTGTTCTGGAGTAAAGTAGCAGATCTAGATGTAAGAAACTTTTGTTCTGAAGTAAAGTAGCAGATCTCGATGTAAGAAGCTTTTGTTCTGGAGTAAAGTAGCAGATCTAGATGTAAGAAGCTTTTGTTCTGGAGTATTATAGCAGATCTAGATGTAAGAAACTTTTGTTCTGGAGTAAAGTAGCAGATCTAGATGTAAGAAGCTTTTGTTCTGGAGTAAAGTAGCAGATCTAGATGTAAGAAGCTTTTGTTCTGGAGTAAAGTAGCAGATCTAGATGTAAGAAGCTTTTGTTCTGGAGTAAAGTAGCAGATCTAGATGTAAGAAGCTTTTGTT